GAAACCAATTGGATGAGCAATTACTCAGACCAGAGAAGAGATGCTAAAGCTAGCAGGGCAACTGCATGGCAAAAGGGATTGGTTGTGCCAGACCAGAGATTTAGCAGTTTCCACTGTCTGACCCTCTGAGAGGAAAGAACAGGTACTACCATCAGAGGTTCCCAGCCAGATCACTGTGCAGAGCAGTTCATGATCAACAAACCCACATGTGTACTTGAGTGCACTGGGGGGTGGGTGGGGGGTGGAATACACTTCCAATCCTCTTCTTGGTAGCCTATCCTTAAGTGTGAGCAGACAACCAATGATTATAAGAATTCCAAGAAAAGAACATAATATGGAAGACAGAGACCAAACCCACAGAAAAAGAAATTTGGAGCAAACAGAGATTATGCAGAAAGAAGAAAAATTGAACAAAGCTTCCAGTAATATATTTCAAGACAAGATAAGCTATTGTAACCTGAAACAAAATAAGATGCTGCAAAAAGAAATATTTGGAGAATAAAAATAAAGTGAGAGCAATAAAAATCTTTAAAATATGAAAAAAAATCAATAGAAGGAAATAAAGTGGATGGATTCTCCCAGAAACATAAAAAACATGGAAAATTGGAGAGAAAAAATATAAATTATAAGGACAAGCCCGGCAGGTTCATCATCAAATCATAGGAGTTCTAAAAAAGAACAGAGAAGATGGAAGGGAGAAAATCATCAATGGGATAACTCAAGTCTACTGCCTGGCTGGGGCTGTAGCTCAGTAGTAGAGCACTTGCCTAGCATGAGGGAAACCCTGAGTTTGATCTTTAGGACTGAGAAAGAAAGCGGGGGCAGGGGTAGTAAATCCAGAAAGAAAGAAAAATACAAGGAATATAGAAAATAAAAGACCCAACAAAGCACAGTGTCAAAAAAAAAAAAAAAAAAAAGTGGCCAAGAGAATGGGAAAGAAGATGCCTGGTTCCCAGATGTGCAGCAAGGGTTAGGGATAAAGATTGGAGCTTGTCAGAAGACTCCAGCAGAGATTGCTTCAAGAAGATAAAATGGACAAAATGGGAAAAAATCTTTTCCAGCTCCTCCTCTGAAAGGGGATTAATATTCAGAAAATATAAAGAATTTAAAATGCTTAAAACAACCCAATCAATACATGGGCAAAAAAACTAAACAGATATTTCTCAGAAGAAACACAGGTAGCCAACGGATATATGAAAAAATGTTCAACATCTCTAGTCAGGTGCAATGATGCACATCTGTATTCCCAGTGACTCAGAAGGCCGAGGCAGTAGGATTGCAAGTTTTAGGCCAGCCTCAGAAACTTAGTGAGGCTCTAAGCAACTTAGTGAGATCCTGTCTCAAACAAAAAAGGGTGGGGGTGAGGTGGGATGGTCTGGGGATGTGGCTCAGGGTGAAGTACCCCTGGGTTCAATCTCCAGTGCAAAAGGAAAAAAAAAAAAAAAAGTTCAACATCTCTAGCAATGAGGGAAATGCTAATCAAATCTATACTAAGATTTCATCTCCCTCTAGTCAGAAGGGCAATTATCAAGAACACAAATAAAAATAAATGTTGGTGACGATGTGGGGAAAATAGTATACTCATTGTGGGTGGAACTTTAAATTAGTACAACCACTCTGGAAAGCAGTATGGAGAGTCCTCAGAAAACTAGGGAGTAGAACCACCATATGATACAGCTATCCCATTCCTTGGAATTTATCCAAAAAGACTAAAATCGGTATACTATAGTGATGTAGCCACATCGATGTTTATAGCAGAACAGTTCACAATAGCCAAATTATGGACCAGCCCAGATGCCCATAATAGATGGATTAAGAAAGCGTAATACACACAAAAAACAATGGAGTTTTACTCAACCATAAAAATGAATGAAATTATGGCATTTACAATTAAAGATGGAATGGAGAACATCTGTAAGTGAAATAAGCCAGACTCAGAAAATTAAGGGTCAAATGTTTGCTCTCATATGTGGAAGCTAGAGCAAAATAAGGGAGAAAAGTCGTGGGGAAGGGATTGGTTATCATAAAAATATGGGAAATATCAGTGGAATTGAAGGAGATCAGGAGGGATGAGGGACAAGAAAGGGAAGGAAATGCAGAATTAATTTAACAAAATAAGAGTGAAAGGAAGATCAGAAGAGGAAGGAGAATTAGGGAGAGTCAGGAGGGAAGGGAAAGGAGGAGTGGAATGGGAACAGAAATGTAGTAAATCAAATTTCATGCATGTTTGATTTTTGTCAAAATGAACCCAATTACTGTGTATAAATATAATGCTCTAATTTAAAAAAAAAACAGATGATGAAATGTGTAGAATATCTACTGAATCCTGCTATTCTGAGAAGAGATGCAGACAAACTCTTGTGGGAAGAGTTGAAGCAAATCTTGTAATAAATACATAGAAAATTAAGCAAATAAAAACACAAGATAGGCACCAGGGTTCCAAGATGTCATTCCCAAAGTATAATGTGTCACACCTGGCCACTCTGCCCCCTACTCTGGACCCAGCCTAGTTTCTCTGGAAACCAGGAAGACTCAAACCCAGTGGTTGGCCATAAAAGCCTGGCTTTAAACAGGATTATCTGCTTCATTCAGAACCATGACCCTAACCACAGAAAGGTCATGGAAGATCCTGCCTTAATTCACTGGACCTATGCAAGATCAGCAAATATCTATCTGAATTTCAGACCCACTCCCAAGAACTTACTCTTAGGTGCTCTGATTGGAATTGGACCTCTCTTTTTCTGGTATTATGTTTTCAAAACTAATAGGATAGGAAGGAAAAAACTTATCTGGGAAGGGAAAGTACACTGAACATTTAATATATTAAGTCTGGCAATGATAACTAATGTTTTCTTGCTTACATAAATCTTCTATTAATCATTAAAAAAGAAAGAAAACACAAGATAATGATTAATTCCAGGAAAAATAAAATTTTTTGCAGGAAAGGAAGTTTTAGTTGTTTACCTGACTCAACTCTTAATAGCATAAATAGTCATAGTGTTGTAAGATCTGAAGATTGAACTAACAAAAAATTATTATAGAATTAAATTTGGCAGATGGCAGATGATGGCAAAAGAACTAAATTCTCAAATCTGCCCTGCCCATGTTATTTGTGGAGGCTGAGACAAGACTATGAGGCAAGACTATAAATGACTCACACACTATCACACTATTTCTTTCTTTCTTTTGGTTTTGTTTTGTTTGTTTTTGGTACTGGGGATTGAACTCAGAGGTTCTGTACTACTGAACTACACTCTCAGCCCTTTTTTAAAATTTTGAGACAGGGTCTCACTAAGTTGCTAAAGTTGGCCTTGAACTTGCAATCCTCCTGCCTCAGTCTCCCAGTTGCTGGGATTACAGACATGTGACACCATGCCTAGCTACATACTAAATATTTCAAAATTATTAAATATGTTTTAAATTGCTAACTTTACAAAAATATACCTTCATAAGGTCCTGGCAGACCAGGTTCTAAATGAGAATTTTTGAACTCTCCAGAATTCTACACTAGAAAATGTTCTTGCCTGGCCCCTTTGTGCTCTTGGCGCTGTACTGCATTGAGAGAGCCTCATAGAGACTCCTATGGACACCCGAGCTTGTGCTCATGCCTCTCTTTGCAAACAGCTGCCAACTGGCTACTCCTTAGGCCCAGGTCATCAGCAACGTCCTCTGAGAGGCAGGTATCCAACCAAGAAGATGGTGCAGGCCCTGAAACCAGGACCACTTCCCATCCTTGTCACCTCTACGAGTTGGGGCAGGGTGGAGAGACTAGGGCAGCAGCAACCTTAGCTGTCATTTTGTGTGTGTGTGTGTGGGGGGGTGCTGGGGATCGAACAGGGGCACTTTATTACCGAGCTAGACCCCCAGCCCTTTTTAGATTATTACACTATTTTGAGACAGGGTCGCTCTCTAATTTGCCCAGGCTAGCCTGTGATCCTATTGCCTCAGCCTCTCCAGTCGCGCGGATTACTGTCGTGGACTACCGCGCCCAAATGTCTTTGGAGACCAAGCCCAGAGAGATCAAAGGACTGGAATTCCCTCGAAGACTTGTCCGTAGCAAGAAGCACCTTCTGTGCAAGGACTTATAGAAGGTAATTTAAAAAGTATATCTCAACTATCAATAATTTCGTGTCCTTGCAGCCTAACTACACAACTTGAGGCCCGAGAACCACTGCTTGGCTTTAGAAGGTGGCTTCCAAACTGGAGTTCATGCGCCTAATGACCGATCTGAAATATCCTCTTTCCTGGAGAATTCGCAGAGCCTTCCAAAGGTGTTTGGGGTTACAAGTCTTTTATTTGCGTAATACGTATTTCACATTTTTAATTCCTATAAAAGATCAGGTCCCCGCTCTCTTTGAGTTCACCACTTTATGAATTCAAAAGTAGCTTCCAGATTCCGTAAGTAACTTCAGGGTCAAGTGAAAAGCACGTGTACAGCCCATAAGGGCAGGGATTTGGGGGATTTATCATTAAACATTTTTTTGTTTTGTTTTAATGTCAAACTACTGTATGTTTAGTGCCTGAAAAAGGTGCGCTCAGTAAATAGTTCGTGGGTTAATTAATTTAAAAGTGCAAAAATAACAAAAGTTTAAAGTGTCCTATATATTGGAACGAATGCTTCGGTTCATCCTCTGGTCCTTGAGCGCCCGCGGGGTGGTGAAGGCCGGGGGATACCGCCTCAGGCGACGTAGTGCTGTAGGCAGGTTTGGAGGTAAGAGTAGCTGAAAAGCGCTGGCGGCGGGAACCTAGCTTATAGTTGCTCCGCAGAGCCCAGAGTCCGCCGGGCTGTCAGTCAGAGGCGGGGGGCAGGCACGCCCCGCCTCCTGGGGGCGGGTCCTGGACCCAGCGGCGCGGGGGTGGGGCCTGGCTGTCCGCGCCGGGGGGCGGGGTCCGGACCGGGCGCACCGGGCCGGTTGGGGGCTCCGCTAGTCGTCGGGAGCAACCGGAGTCCCGGCCACGAAGGGGTGCGACCCCCGACTGGCCCCGCCCTCCCGGCTACGGCCCGGCCAATCAGAGCGGCTTTTACTGGCGGGTGGGCCGAGCCGGCCCAGCTGCTCGGAGGCTCTGGCATGGTAACGTCCCCGCGCGGGGGTGGAGGGGCCCGGGGCGGTCCCACAGCGCCCCCTGCGGCCCGGGCCGTGGCCGGGGGGGCGGGGAGGTCAACCGGGGTCCCCAGGACCCCAAGGGAATGCGAGGGGAGCAAGGGGTGAGGTAGGAGCCCAGGAAGGGGATGGAGGCGGGGATTTGGGGGAGAAGGGGAGGGGGAGGCCATGATGAAGCATGGCGGGGGGGGGCGTGCGGCCGGGTGCTGAGGCGGACGAGACTTGCGGGACTGGGTGAGGGTTGGGAGGAAATAAGTGAAGGATGAGTTTGGGTAGAAAGGTTGAGAAAGAAGAGAGAGGGTGAGAGATGAGGAGACCACAGGACTAGGGGAGAGGTAGGGACCACAGTTTCTTTTCCTGGGCTATTTGGCATGCCCCATTCCCCTCCCCCAGTCCCAGTGGTTGTTCCCTTTGGAAGCCCTGGGTGCCCCTTAGGACCGCTAGGGGACTCCCTCCTTTCCCCGCATTTGCAAAACCTTGTCTCCTGAGGTAAGGAGGGCTTCTGGCCCTCACCGTGGTGCTGCTGAAGAGCAGAGGCCTCTTGGTCCCAGCCCTGGCTCTGCCATCAGCAAACTGTAACTACTCTGTGTGACCTTGGGCAAGTCACTACCTTTCTTTAGGCCTCGGATTTCTCATTGATTTAAAAAAAAAAAAAGAAAGAAAATGGTATCCCAGATCTCTTTCAGCTCCGAAATGGAGCAGTTTTTGAGGATGAAATTAAGGCCAATGGGTTCTAGTACGTGAGGAAGCATGAAGGAGGCAAGGCCTTCAGCTGGGCTGGAGAAAATCCCCAGGGATGTGGGGGAGGGGAGACATAAAGCCTCCAAGGCTCAGCCCGCTAGCCAGGGCCTCTGGAATTCTGTTGGAGGAATGGGAGAACTGTCTTAAGAAGAGGAGGTTGAACCCTGACGCTAGAAAGACTAGGACCAGATGTAACATTCTGTTCTGAAGAGGGAGAGTGAGGAGGTGATGAGGGAGTCAAAGAAGCAAGGGAATACATTTTCTAGAAAGACCCCCCAGGCTCTTTGGAGAGTAGGAGGAACAGTAGAGCTAGTACAGGAGAGTGCCGAGTGGGAATGTCTTGGATCAGGAATGGAAAGGTTAATGCTCTATGGGGGTGGCTAAAGAAGGATAGCAGGTAGATAAACTTCAGGGTAATCAGCTGGTCTCTAGCTATTTCTTTTTCTCTCCTTGCCACCACACAATGCTGGGAATCCAATCCAAGGCTATTCATGTTAGGCAGATGCTAAACCACTGAGCTACAGCCCCAGCCCTCAGCTGTTTCTGTTTGATGACTGCTACCTCTTTCTGAGAGATGTGCCTCCCAGTCTTCATTTTTCCAACACCTCCAGGGAGGGAGAATGAGTCAGACCAGGCGGACCTTGGGATCCCTTGGCTCTCTGAGGATTTCAGGAGTGTATGAAGATTGGGGTGATATGAAAACAGGGGATGAATCTGAGAATAAGAAGTACCATCTGTAGTGCCCTCCTCCTTGCTTGGAGGCAGCTTTGTGGAGTGGTTGAAAGCACAGGCTTTGGAATCAGACTGCTTGGATTCCAAACCTGCTTCTGCCATTTAATCTCTTGAAACCTTGGTCAAGTAAGTAATTTAATCTCTGAACCTCACTTTTTTACATATAAAATGGGCATAAAAACCTCTTAGATGGGGTTGTGAGGATTAAATGGAGTGTTTGGCATAGTATCTGGCCCATAATAGTGCTCAGTAAAGATTATCTGCTAATGGTTGTTATTCCCATTTTCCATTCTCTCTGTCTCTTCATTTTTGTCATTTTCTCTTTTTGTTCTTTTTCCTGAGTGCTCAGTTCTAAGAATACCCTCAAATATGAATGCTGAGAATAACTGATAAATCTTTGTTGGGGGCATATCTAGGAAAGGGGTCCTTCATCTGGCCCAAGTGGACACATGATGATCATGTGTTTCTTTATTATCGCTTCCCAGCCCCTAAGTATGTTTTTATTCCAGGGAAGATGCAGGATCTGCTTCTTTCAGCTCCCATTCTTAAAACTCTTAAACTAATATCTTTTTCATAGTCTCACCTAGAAATGCAAGCAGATCCACAATTGTGCTGCCATTGCAGCAAGTGGAAGAGGGACGGGTGTTTAAGGAAAGAAAGGACATGCATAGCACAGGGGTATCTCTGGGAAGGGTGAGCTTTGGGAATTCCATAGTAATTTATATGCATTCCCTTGTTCTATCCTTTGCAGGGAACTGACCAAAATAGGCCAGTGTCTGAATTCTTGCCACAGTTATTCATCTTAAGATGAAGGTGGTCATATACAGTCAATTTTTATTATTTAGATTTTCCCATGCCAGTACTTGATTCCAGTTTGCTTTTCTTAAGCCAGAGAGACTTCTGCCAAGATACTTCTCTCTCTCTCACAACAGAGAATGTACTGGGAATTTATACAAACATACCTGGACACAATTGCAGCACACTTTTAGGTATGCAAAAATCTAATAAGGTTTGGGATGAAACTAAATTTTATCACAACACTTTGTGTACAGCGCAAGGATTAGGCACTCAAGGAATGTTTAAAAGGAGAAAACTTGATTCCTAAATGTAGGGAAATCCCCATCTGAGTGAGGAGCGAGCTAGTCCCACATTACTCAGCAAACATTCACAGAGCAGCATGTCACTGCTACAAAGTGCAGCATTTATCCCAGAGGGATACACATAGGTAGGAATGTGTGTATGTGTGGGGGATAGTATAAAGGGAACCTGAAGGAGGTGAATATTGAATCATCCTGAACAAAGAAATAGACAAAACAGAATAAAAAAAAAATTACATGAAAGTAATCTAACAATTCCTATGTGAAGAGGAGGAAAGCCATTGAGTCAGGATGAGCCAAGGGTATGGGATGAGATGGGCTTTACTGAAAGGTTTGAGATATATATATATATATATATATATATATATATATATATATATATATACACACACACACACACACACTCACACATATACATACACCACACACTTATTTATTTATTTATTTTACTTGTAGGTGGAGACAATGACCTTTTTTTTGTTTACTTTGTATGTGGTGCCAGGCGAGCGCTCTACCACGGAGCCCCAGCCCCAGCCCCTATTGAAAGGTTTTGAATGTTAGAGATTTTGTAGATTAAATTATAAGAAACTACTCTAAGAGAAAGCAAAAAAAAAAAAAATCTTGGCTCCTTGCTGATTTAACCACTTAGGTTGCAGGGGAGATTAGTGGAAAAACAGATGCTTTCTATGGCAGGAGCTGTGCTTTTAAGGAAGACAGGCTAGAGGGCAGTCCTGGTTCTCCCTAACTAGTCATGGGACCTTGGATATTACTCTCCCTTTTCTTTTTCATATGAAAAGAGAGGACTACCTTGAGTAGTCCTCTCTGCTGAAGTCCCTTCCACCTCTGACATTCTTGTGTTCCCTCAATAACTCCTAGGCCTTACCAATGATCCCTGCTATTTGGTGGAAAGACCATTCAGTTGTTAAGCCAATTAATATTAGCACCTACCCCTGTCCCTCAGGGTTTTGGGTGGGGACTACAGACATTATATCTCATTAATTTCTTTTTTCTTTTTTTTTTTTAAATTTTGAGACAGGTTCTTGTTAAGTTGCTTAAGACCTCACTAAATTGGTGAGGCCACCCTAGAACTTTTGATCCTACTGTTTCACTTTCCCAAGTTAATGGGATTGATGTGCACTTAGCATATTTCATTGATTCTAAGACTCAATATTTTTGAAGTCAGGATGTGGCTGAAAGTCAATAGGTTATCATAATAGGCAGCATTTCTTTTTTATTAGTGTCATATAAGATACTAGTACCATCAAAATTGCCCAAATAACTAAATTTCCAATGGACAGTTGCTAAAGGGAAGGCATATGGTATTCAATGAGTATATAAATAAGGGCTCTGATTAGTATAGTAGGTTAGTAAAGGCTTTCCCAGGAAATGGCTATCAAGGGGGATGGCACAGTGTGAAGTGTATCTAGGTAAGTTGGTAGTGTTGTCCCAGCTACAGGTAAGATCCCTGAGGTGGGCGAACTAAGAAGTAAATATCGTTGAGTATGGTGAGCACAGACCTGGACATGGATGAGGCTGACAGTGTGATTGGCAATAGACCTCTTATAACCTCACAGGCCCTGAGCTAGGTAAGACCTAAAAATGGTTATCTGGAAGGTTAGGTTCCTAAGGCAGCTTGAGGTGGGAGAGAGATACAGAAAATCAAATTGCTTCCCATGTTGGATAGTTTCTGACATCCATGCTTAGGAAAGTTTGAAGGGGTAAGTACAGGGCTAAAGTAGCTGAACACAGAAAAGGTGAGTCAGACTGGAGTAGCTTAGCTCATTTCATTCTCTTCTTAGGACATGGTAAAGGATAGATATTTGCTAAAGGAAGAGATCAGAAAGCATTTTTAAAAAATATTTTTTAGTTATAGGTGGACACAATATTTTTATTTTTTTATGTGGTATTGAGGATCAAACCCAGTGCCTCACATGTGTGAGGCAAGTGCTCTGCCACTTAGCCACAACCCCAGCCCTAGAAAGCATTTTAAATGTGAGCCTTTTAGCATAGGTAGTGGTGAGGTTGCTTCTGTTTATCCAACTACCACCTTTCCCTAGAGCTCTCCAACTTTCAAGTGGAGAGGAAGGAAGATAGGCCTTTTAGCTGTACCTCCAAACCTTAGTTCACTCAAAAATGTTTTGAATGGGTCATATAGTCCTATGATCGCATATTCAAAAAGTACAAAAAGCAGGCTGGGGTTGTGGCTCAGTGGTAGAGTGCTCACCTAGTATGTGTAAGGCCCTGGGTTCAATCTTTAGCACCCCATAAAAGTAAATAAATAAAATAAAGGTAGTATGTCCAAGTACAATTAAAAAAAAAATTTTAATACAAAAAGGCATACATTGAAAAGTCTTCCTTCCACCTCTTTCCTCCTTCCACCATTGTCTTATGTGTCACCCTTTATTGCTTATATACAAATGATAAAACTTTAGTGTACCTTTCCTTTTTCCACTTGTAATACATCTTAGAGATTGGTCTGTAAGGAGACAGTTGAGTGTGTTCTTTATAACTGCATAGTATTCCATTTTACATTGTGTTTGGTTTCTTGGTTCATTACTATTGGATATTTAGACTGATTATGATTTTCTATTTTTATGACTAATACTGAAATGAAAATCATGTGTACATATTATTTTGGCCATGTGCAGCTTTAAGTATAGGATGTCATTTTAGAATATTAAGGTTCTGTATAGAGAAGATTTGTTGTATTATTTGTTCTTTCATTCATTCAGTATTTATCGAGTACATATTATGTGCCAGACACTGTGTTGGCTACCAGGAATCCAGCTTTCAACAAATCAGATGTGATCCCGCCCTCATGGAATGTTATTACTCTCTAGTGGGGAAAACACCTATGCCAGCAAACATAATAAAAAATCAAGGATACTAAAAAAGGGGGGATCAGAATAAATTGGAAGGAATTACTTTAAATATAGTCAGGAAGCCTTCTTGGAATAATGATATTTAAGCCGAGAACTAAAGGGTGGGATGTGGTTTGCCATTAGGTGTAGAACAGGGAGATTTAGGCTGTTCATAGACTTTATCCACAGTGAGATGAGTTCAGGATTTATAAAAGAAAGGTGTCTATCAGATAGGGTATGGGGATGGTACAAAGAGTTGAAGTTATTGATTGGAATTGAAAGATGGCCAAAGCAGAAGACTGAAGATGAGATTAGTTAGGGGAGGAAGCTGGAGTGAAAAGAGGTGTGTTAGACTAGAACTGTAAAAGGCTGACAACTGTTTGTGTTTAGAGAACTTTGGATTGACTCTCTAACTGGGTTAATGGAAGTAGAGGAATAGAAAAAGAGGCCGCTGCCTTGAGAGAGGCCTTGCCACTGGCAGGAAAATGGTTAAAAGCCATGGGAAAAGCTGGATGCCTATAGTGGAGTCTTCTCTCTTTTCTGTGGCTTTGGCAAAATGGAAACTCCCAAAATAAAGATGACATTGAAGGTCTCAGCCAGCTGGCTCTAGACTGGCACAGAAAAAACAGACCTTCCCAGGACTCAGAACTTGGGGTGGGTAGGAATTTGGGCTTGGAGACCCCATCTGAACTTTGTGTTCCTTTTTCAACTTTACCCTTTCTGCTTCCCTTCCGCAAAAGCCCATCTCTCTGCCCATCCTGGGTCCTATGACTTTTCTCTCCCTCAACAGTCGGTTCCCGATTCTGGTCCCCGGCCCCCAGCAGCGCCTGCCCCCTTCCCACCGGGGCCCCCCATGATGCCACCACCCTTCGTAAGTTTTATGTGTTTCCCTGGGCTTGGCTTTTCCAGCCTGCACCCTCAACTCCCCAGCCCTTGCCACTGCTGCATCGCCAGCACGGTTCTCCTGTAATGCACCTTTTTGCTGCCCTTGGAAGAGGGGTGGTTTTGTCTGGGCATTGGGGTGGGGAGAGCTACTGTTAAGCTCTAGTCCGAAAAGGTGACAGTTCCCCCTTTGTCCTTTTGTCCCTGGGACACACTGGGGCTGGAAGTAGAAGTGGAAGAGAAAAGACTCCGTTAGAGTGAGCGCAGGGTGGATCTGTCTTTCTCTTTCACTACTCCTTACCTGTGCTCTTTTTAAAAAAGCCACAGAATTTGGGCTGGAATTGCATTGGTAGAGTCAGAGAAAAAGGGGAGGCAGAAGAACTGGGGATGGCTGCCTTCCGCCCTTCACACGAGAGGCTTCTTGGGGAGCAGTGCTGAAGGGTTATAGCCTTCCCCCAGTCTGGTGCTGTTTCAGTTCCCTTTCCTTTTCCTGCCTCTTAGGAAGCTGTGTGCTTGCCTGTTAAACCCAGAGAACTCCCCAGTTACCTGTCTTTCTCAGTGGTGAGGAGGGAGGCAGTTTCATGCCTTGTGCTTCTCAAATGAAAGCCTTGGAATACCTCCAAGCCAGGGTGGAGGGCTGGGTGGACAACAGGTGGATGCTTCCTGATGGGTCTTCTCTGTCCCTAGCAAGGCAGTGTTCCTCTGTTCAATATTTCTTCCTTTCCTCACTTCCAGATGCCCCCTCCAGGGATCCCCCCACCCTTTCCTCCGATGGGGCTCCCACCCATGAGTCAGAGACCACCAGCCATCCCCCCCATGCCACCTGGCATCTTGCCCCCAATGCTTCCACCGATGGGGGCACCACCACCACTCACACAGGTAATTGTCTCCCTCCAGAGGGCCTCAGGAAACCCTGTTTGTTTAATTGGGGGTGGAAATGAGAGGTACTCAGACTTCAGAAACTGGGAAGAGAAACGATCTTTGATCCAGGCCCATGTGGATTTGTCTGCTGAATGACTGAGACAACTCTTAGGAAAGGTGAAAACCCAGAACCTGAGGATTGCCTGGGCCACCTCAGTGGGATCTGTTAGGACCCCCAACTGAAAGGGACACTATCCACCTGCCCTAACCTCAGTGGCTGGTTTTATACCCATAGATACCAGGAATGGTACCTCCGATGATGCCAGGAATGCTGATGCCAGCAGTGCCTGTCACTGCCGCGGTAAGCTCTAGGGGCTGGCAAGAAGCAGGCTGTACCCTGCAATTCTGTGGGTCTGACTTGGAGTACAAGGGCGTGGACTCCACTTCTTTCCGTCTTCTTATATCCACCCTGGTCCCCAGCAGCATTCCCCATGCTGGAATCTTCCTCCCCAGCTGCGTACTCAGCAATTCTAGTTTCCCGATCGTCCCCAAAGGCATATATATTCTTTGTTACCTCCGTGCACACACAGCACCTTTCAGGAGCACACTCATACCAGACACTTCTTTCCATCACATGGCCATGCACTGTGGACACACTAATACAGTCCTTTCTTCACATGCTCTTTGCTTCTGGAGGAGGCAGTGGCACCCAGGGATCTCGCTAAACCTTCTTGTGCTCAGTATAGTAGAGTCTGAGTGGGATATAGAATTTGGCATCTACTTTGAAGAGATGGGCCTCAGGAGTTGAAGTTGACTCAAAATACTCTGACTTGAGGACAATGAAGAAAGGAGCTGTTGTGCAATTCCCCCTGGGATCTGAGAGCCATGGCCCTGGCAGGAGGGAGGGGATCTGTTAGGGAGGAGAAATCCCTGGGAGCAGGACACACAGATCCTGGCCTGGCCTGCTTCTCCATCCCCCATGGCCTGGGTCCTGGGGGCCACTGGGCTTGGCCCCAACCCTTCCCCCTCCTCTTTCTTCGGCAGACGGCTCCGGGTGCGGACACCGCCAGCTGTGAGTCTTCTGGGGGCCTGCTCCCCCCAGGCTCGGAGGTTGGGGGGTATAGGGGAGAGGGGCCATGGACTGGAACCCACCCTGGATCATGCCTGTTGGGATGCCAGGGAGCCTGGGATGTTGATGGGACCAGGGAGATATTTACTGGGGATGGAATAAGGGAGGATAAGTGGGGATAAGATGGGGGTTTAAACAAAAACTTAGTACATTTCCTTTGGCTTCTTTTCTAGCTGCTGTGGCTGGGACAGGCCCTCCGGTGAGTTTCTAGCTTGAGTCTCTGGGTAGGAAAGCTGAAAATGGGAGGCTGGTATTTAAATCTTTGGGGTGAGAAGAAGAGGCTTTGGGAAAGGAGCCTTGACCACCATTCTGTGCCCCCCTCCTCCCAGAGGGCCCTATGGAGTGAGCATGTGGCCCCTGATGGGCGCATCTACTACTACAATGCTGATGACAAGCAGTCCGTGTGGGAGAAGCCCAGCGTGCTCAAGTCCAAGGCGGAGGTCCTGAGTGGGGCTTTGTGGCCCTTCCTTTCAGCTGCCCTGACCCTTCCAAGTCCTTTCCCTGAATCTCTGACTAATTATAATTAGAGGTCCCAAGCTGCCTGGCCCACCCCCATGCTCCCTAGAAATACCTCCCTAGGATCTTAGGAAGTCCATGTTCCCCCATTTGAGCCAGGTTAGATGGTAGCTCCAGACTACTGTGTCCTCTATTCACTGGGTCTTATTAGCTCCCTTGTGACCAGAGAGCTCCCCAGCCTACTGATATCCTTTGACCCATCCTCTTGCAGCTGCTGCTGTCTCAGTGTCCCTGGAAAGAGTACAAGTCAGACACAGGCAAACCTTACTACTATAATAACCAGAGTCAGGAGTCCTGCTGGACCCGGCCCAAGGACCTGGATGACCTGGAGGGTGAGGGGTCCTGGGTGGAAGGGGAGGTCTGGGCAAGGTGGTGGGGGTCCTTTGCTACTCTGACTGTGTTCTTTTCCCATTGCAGCTCTAGTCAAACAAGAGGCTGCAGGGTGAGTGACTCACCCACCTATCCATTCATACTTGGGAGGTGGGAATGAATTCTGCAGTATCCCTACTCTGTGAGAGGAATCAGCTCTTAGTCTCCTTGTGAGGTCATTTGCTCTGGCCCCAGTCCTTCCCAGAGTAAAGATGCCAGCAAGCACCTGCCCTTCTCTATCCCTGCTCTGCTCCAACACCACTATTTTGGCTTATCTACAGAAAAATGCAACAGCCGCAGACACCACAGCCACAGCCACCTCAGCCTCAGCCTGACCCCCCACCTGTACCTCCTGGCCCCACTCCAATGCCCAAGGGCCTCCTGGAACCTGAGCCAGGTGGGAGTGAAGATTGTGATGTGTCGGAGGCTGCCCAGCCCCTGGAGCAGGGGTTTCTGCAGCAGCCAGAGGAGGGCCCCAGCAGGTGAGGGCTGCCCCCAACAGCATTCCAGATGTTAGCCTCAGGCTTTTATCGTGGTTCATTCTTCATTCTCTGCCAGGCCTCTTGGGAGGGGTATAAAGATCTGGGCAATGACCTCTGAAGGGAAGAAAGTGGCTACTGTGGGAAGCAAGGAGGGTAAAATGTTGCTGAGAGTACAGCACACTGAAAGCAGTGAGGGCTGGGTACCCTGTGGCTGAGTCCCCTCTGCCCCCCAGTTCTGCTGGACAGCATCAGCTAACACAGCAAGAGGAGGAGGAATCCAAGCCAGAACCAGAGAGGTCTGGCCTCAGTTGGAGCAACCGAGAGAAGGCAAAGCAGGCATTCAAGGAACTGCTGAGGGACAAGGTGCTGAGGGTGGGGCTCCTGGAGGAAGACCTGGAAGGAGGAATCTGGAGGTGGGCAGGCCCCATGACCCCTACTTACTCTATTCCAGGCTGTCCCCTCCAATGCCTCATGGGAACAGGCCATGAAGATGGTAGTCACAGATCCCCGATACAGGTAGGCCTGGGCAGAGGGAGCCAGGCCATGTTCGTGAGAGCAGCCAGACCAGGAATTCCCTGAGAAGCCCCAACTCAAGATCAGGCTCAAGGGGTCTGGAGTTAGGAAAGTGACAGACCAGATTGGAGAGCAAGGGGAGGAAAAGCTAGGACAAGAAAATGGAAAGGTATCTGACATGAGACATTCAATAAATGCTTATTGGATTAAATTGAATCGAATTGAATTAATTGGGGAAAGAAGGACCTGAGTAGGGCAGAGGTCTGATAGCAACTTGAGAACACCAAAGCAAAAGGGCCTAGTGTTAGCAGTGTCTGGGGGTTGTGTCTCTTCCCCTTATTACCTCACTCCTGCCCATATCCCTCACATCTGTAGGCTGAGCCCTTACATGCCCTGCCCCCCATTCAGCTCTGTGGAGACCCCCAGTGTCCTATGATCCTACTTTGTGGGCTATAGAGGATGGTTCAAGCAGACTCTTTTGTTTCCACTCCATTCTTGCCATTTGTACCCTAGTGCCTTGCCCAAACTAAGTGAGAAAAAGCAGGCATTCAATGCTTACAAGGCACAGCGGGAGAAGGAGGAGAAGGAAGAGGCCCGGCTAAGGGCCAAGGAGGCCAAGCAGACCTTACAGCATTTCCTGGAACAGCATGAACGCATGACCTCCACCACCCGCTACCGGTTAGGGGGCTGGGCTGGGCTGGGGCTTGGGAACCCGGAGAACGCAAAGGCTCAGTGATCTGCTCTCTGCCTATCTACTCACAGCCCATGTGCTCCACAGGCGGGCAGAACAGACCTTTGGGGAACTGGAGGTCTGGGCTGTGGTCCCTGAGAGGGATCGAAAAGAGGTTTATGATGATGTCCTCTTCTTCCTGGCCAAGAAGGAGAAGGTAAATGGTCATTGGGCCAGATCCTTCAGACCCAATAATATCTTGGACCTTCCTTGTCTTTGCTCTTTTATGGACTCTGGCCATTTATTTCTCTACTCCCCAATGTCCCAGCTCCTGACTTGGAAGCTGATGTGACACTTATATGTCCCCCCATTTCTGCCCTGAGCCTGTAGTCTTGGGTCTGGGAGGGCGAGGAGGAATTGGACAGGTTGGTTCCTCCCCTACCTGGGGACATGAAAGTCTAGTCCTCCTCCTAGGGTTCTTGAGATACTCCCTTTCCCGAATTCTCCTCTGCCAGGCCCACTTGGGTAGCTCTGGCTTGCCTAGCCTCATCTTGATCCTGTGGCTCCCCAGGAACAGGCCAAGCAGCTCCGGCGCCGAAATATTCAGGCCCTGAAGAGCATCCTGGATGGAATGAGTAGTGTCAACTTCCAGACTACATGGTCCCAGGCACAACAATACCTCATGGATAACCCCAGTTTTGCTCAGGACCATCAGCTGCAAAGTAAGCTTGAGTCTCCACTCCCACCTGACCCTTCCCCTTTTTACATGACTTGGGATCCCAGAGCTTGCCTCATACCACCACTCCATTGCACCTCCTGCTCATTCTAGAAGTCTCCAATACTCAAGTCACTAGATATCCTCTCCCTCCCTCTGGAGTTCACTGTTGGCCTGGACATTGTGTGTTCTTGGAGGAAGAGCTCTGGGATATAGGAATCAGTGTTCTTTTCCTCTATATCTGTATCTCCTCCTCTCTGCCTCCCTTTCCTGGAGATGATGATCATATTTGTAGTTTATGTGACTGTAGTCTTAAATTGTCATAGCATCAGGGCATTAACTGGTCACGGATGCTACAATAAACAGTTGCTGATCTGTGATCACTGATGATATGACAAATTATTTTCGGAAGTTACATCAAAGCCTGATTGACTTTGCTTCCCTATGATGTGAAACCTCAGATCCTGAGAAAACGGGTTTCATGGGATGGCTTCTAGTAACTCACACCAGAAATCACATCAGGGCTGAAAACTTGCTGATTTTTTTCTAATGCAATGAATGATCTCCCTCAAGAACTGCCGTTGAAGTAGCTACTCCCACAGAATCCTTTTCTCTGCTTTCCCCACTAACCTGAGTGTCCCCAGTACCCACAGGAACATCAACCTTGAGACACTGGGTACTGAATCTGAGAGGGTATCCTGCTAGTATGGCACCTGCTGAGCCTCCTTCCTACCTATAGACATGGACAAGGAAGATGCCCTGATCTGCTTTGAAGAGCACATCCGAGCTTTGGAGAGGGAGGAGGAGGAAGAGCGGGAACGGGCCCGACTTCGGGAACGGCGCCAGCAGCGCAAGAACCGGGAGGCTTTCCAGGTATTTTTGCTGCCCTTGGGGATTAGAGCTCAGCTCTACCCCAGACAGTAACTTCTACCCATGCCCTGCCTGCTTTGGGCTAGGCTGCCTGCTTTGTCCCTCTTTTGACCAAGCTTCACAAGGCTTCTCTCTGCCTCCAGTTCTGCTCCCTGCTGTGTCCCTTCAACTCTGGACTGTGCTCCTCTAGGGAGACCAGATGTATGTACCTCCCAGAAACCACCAGCAGAGTGCTCTCTGCTTTGAAGAGCACACACAGCAGGCAGTGTGGCAGCTAGGCCATGTGCATTTCCTTTGGGTGGGGAGCAGACAGGTAGAGATTATCCTCCAGCTTAAGGGTGGCAGTATGGGGATGATTTAGTTGGATTGGATCACAAAAGAAAGTTGCAACCAAGTCATGGAAGATGGTGCTGCCTCCCAGACTGGCTTGTTTTCATTTTTCGCTGTCCCTCTATATTTATATTCTCTTCTTTTAGTAGTGTTCTCTTCCTCTACATCTGTATCTCCTCTCTGTCTCCCTTGCCTGGATTTCCGGAGTCTGGATTGCTCCTGCCTTTCCCTCTGCCATTCCCTTTCTTCCTTCCTATCTCACTTTCCCTATCCCTGGCCTCTCCTTGCTTAGACCTTCCTGGACGAGCTGCACGAGACAGGGCAGCTGCACTCCATGTCCACCTGGATGGAGCTGTACCCAGCAGTCAGCACTGATGTCCGCTTTGCCAACATGCTGGGCCAGCCGGGTAAGGCAGCCAGGCTCCCCCTTCTCTGGTCTGGCTTCCTGCCCTGACGCCTCTGCATTCCCACTCCCTGGTCCTGTCCTCGACCCCACCCCAGGCCTTGGGAAGCTGCCGCCCGCCAGGCCCCCCCTCCCTCCCTCCCTGCAGGCTCTACCCCTCTGGACTTGTTCAAGTTCTATGTGGAAGAGTTGAAGGCACGTTTTCATGATGAGAAGAAGATCATTAAGGACATTCTTAAGGTGAGGGGAACCTGGGGTTATGGATGAACACAGGCTATGTGCAAGCCACAGAGTCCCTGCACAGATTCCCTGATGAGTCCCATTTTGCAAGAGTGTAGCAGCTTGTTCAGCAGATATCTACTGTGGTTCTTTACCTTGAATTGGGATATAGTAATGAATAGACATGATTTCTGCTCATAGGAACTCATGGTACTAAACAAAGATAGACATGAGAACAGTTATGCAGGGGAGCAGGTGTTATTACAGAGATTAATTGGAAGAATTATCATTTGAACTGCACTTTTATAAAGGAGTAGAGGAGGGCAGAATGTCCTAGGCATAAAAAGGCAGGTGGGTGGAAAGTGTATGGTGAGTTTGAGGAGCAAAAAGTATAGATAATTATAAATTAATAGGCAATAGAAATATGCTTTCTGACCAGCATGGTGGTTTAGAAAAATTTGGAATTCATTATTAACATTTTTAAATTGGAAGATTTAACATAAAAGACAGGCAGCACTGGGCTGGTTTTGTGAGGCATTCTGTGGAATCAGACTGAGATGCCATTGCCTTCTCAGAAAGGGCACGTTGTTCTTTGCCTCACTACTCCTTAATGCCTTCTTAATACTGCATTGAGTATCAGCTGCCATGTACCATCCCATGTGCACTGCCACTTTCTTTATACTGAAGAAATAGTGCCCATGTCTGTCACAGTTAGAAAAGATGGGTAATTATGCAAGTGAAGAGACTCTAATGTTTCAAAAGAAAAAAAGAAAGCATTTTTCCTTTGGAAGTGAAGAACATTCCAGTGCATTTGAGGAGATAGTTCAGTCCAGTCCAGTGGTTAGAAGCAGAACCTGAGGCAGACTGGGCTAACAGTCCAGATTAATCCCTTACTAATATGTGACCTTGACTAGGCCATTTAACCTTTCTGAGCCTTGGTTTCCTTATTTAAAAAATGATGAGTGTTCTACCAAAGGACACCTAATTACAGGTGAGATTAACTTGGTGTCTGAGTTGAGAAGGACTTAGGAATAAAATTAATAAAATAGTACCATTGCACATAACCACCTTTTTTTTGTGGGGGGGTGGGTACTGGGGCTTGAACCCAGGGCCTAGCACATGCTAGGTAAGCGCTTTACGACTGAGTACATCCTCAGCCCTATGAAGTTTCTTTGAAGTCCTTTGTTTTACCTTACAAACTCATGCACATGCTGCATTTTAATCCCACATCACCTTCCTATTTAATATGAATTTAATATTTTTAAGTTACTATTAGGTAAGATGTATCATATTGTCCTGTGACTTCCTCTGTTTCTCCGGAACCATATGCCCTGTGTGGAAGTAAAGCCCTGCATGTAAAGTGTCTTGAATGCTAAAATAAGAAATTTGGATTTTTATCTTGTAAGTAATATCATATGGCATCTTGGAAAAGCCACTGGTGATAGTGTGTGGTAGCATCTCCCAGTCTGGAGTGTTTATGTCACTAGGGGAGATATTAGTGGTGGAGACAGTGGTAGAAACCTCAAGTGACAGTGGCAAGTAATTCAGATACTTTTTAAGTTTTAGTCATCCTCTGATTCATCCCCAGGCCTCTTCTCTGATACCAAGGCTACTTGGTACCAAAGTCAGAGCAGTACTAAATGCCAGAGGCTGGGTTAGGAATGAAGGAAGGAGGAATGAAGACAGGGAGACCAGTCAGCTGGCCTTCTCAGGGTCTAGGTTGGTGGTGATCTCCAGGCAAGGCAGTAGGGATGGCACATGAGGAGAATGAGCTGTATGAATCCAGCTGGGCTTGAGCTGCCATAGGCACCTTGAGAAAAGCAAGGGGTGGAGGTTTAGTATCTGGGGATTCTATACTTCTTCCTCTGTTTTTGAATGGAGGAGCTTGCATCTCTTTAATACATTGAGATGCTACATATGATTTTTATTGAAAAAAAAGTTTCTTGTTTGAAAAGTTTAAAAACAGTGTGATAGAGTCACTGAAAAGTGGAATTGCCAGGTTGTTTTATAAACTTGAGGGAAAAGGAGGAGGTGCAGGGATGGGGCCATGAATGATGTCACCATTAGTAAGGAATAAGCAGGAAGAGCAGGATTACAGTAGGAATTCCATTAGGGGAATTATTCTCAAAAGCAACCTGGAGCAAGGAAGAATAAAGCAAATACTGTATTTTAAATAGGATAGTTATATAAACTAATATCCCGATATAGTTAATTTTTTGCCTGGTTAACTTTTAGCCAGAGTGGCTGATACTGACAATTGTTCTGCAGGGCTCCTGCCCTTGCTAAGTTCTGTCTTTCCACAGCACCTGAGAAATAAGCTGTTTTAGATAGCTCCTCTTCCTGTTCCTCCATGGGGGCTACTGCTTTTAGAAGACAAATGAGCTCAGGAGTTTTCTGTGGCCATCCACAGCCAGGTGAACTATGGTGGCCCCTCTCATCTGTAGGATAACACAGGGCCTGGACTTGGAACAGGTAGATAATTGGAGGTAGATGGCTGGGCCTGTGGGAGATCACTAAGAGCTTGGAGGTGAGGAGCATATGCGAGCATATCCCAAGGGAGCATATATCTTAGGATCTGTTGAATTTGAAGTGTCTGTGAAATATACAGTCTCGTATGGGTTTGAAAATCAGCAGAGAGGTGAAGGATGAGGTTGTCAGGGAAAGTATAAATCAGGTAGTGTGCTGAGAGCCATTGCCAAGTAGGAATGACGCATGGCAATTTCTTTGTCAGCCTACCCAATGTTGCTTAGAGGGAGGACTCTCCATTGTGGAAATGGGCTTGCCTTGGACCCAGGTCATTTGCAGTGACATTGCATGAATGTTTGAGAAAGGTGACCCTGCTCAAGGACCAGGGTGGATCGGGGGTTTAGGGAGGATCCTGCTAGATTAGGGTGGGTCCAGGTTTAGGGTGTATCCTGCTGGGAATAGGGAGTATCCTGCTGCCTCAGGCGCCCGCCCGCTCCTGGAGTTCCCGTTGAGTTCTCGCGGGATTCAGAGAGTATTTTGGGATGCAGAGCTGAGTGGAGGTGGATTTTCCCCAGAACGTGCGTGTAGAGTGCGGGTGAGAGGTCGGGAATAAAGACTTGCTGTTTGAATCTACAAGGCTGTGAGTGGCTCGTGAAAAAAGGATAAACTGCTATTATTAGGATCGTACACATATAAAAGAGGTGACAAGAGGTAGGTATAGGAGGGACCTAAAGAAGGAGGGTAGTGTTGAAGAAGTAAACAGCAGAAGCACCAAGGACCAGATGAATGAGGACTGAACAGGAACCCTTGAATTTGACTATTACAACATGAGTGACTTGGGAGAGTGTGACCATGAAGCCAGTGGCTTTGGGACAACATGTTTCAGAGTCAAGTAACTCCTGGCTCTTATTGGCTGAGACGTCTGCAAGTTATGTAGTACTTCTGAGCTTCAATTTCCTTTTCTGTAAAAGTAGGGATAATCCATTTGCAAGACCATGAGAATTAAAATAACATTTGTAAAACGTAAATAACATTTGTAAAACATCTTGTCTATAACAGGCTGTCAATGTTTATTCCTTTTCCTTTGTGCTGCATTTTAAGAGATTTTGAAATTAAAGAAAAGCAGGGGTAGTTAAGTGAGAGCAGGATGGAAGGGATGTTACAGGTAAAGTGAGATGTGTGCTTGATGGAAGGAGCCAGTACGGATGATATTGAAGCCTTCACTTCCCTAAGAAAGAGTGAATGTATTTGAGAAGGGTTGGAGAAGTGTGAGCTGAGGAAGTACTTGTAGAGAGAACGAAGAGCAAACCTCCTCCCTCAGCAGGTAGATCAGAGGAAGTTAGAGCTGTGTAGATGTAGAGTGAGAGTAGGGAATATGGCTGTGTCCCTGCTGACTTAAGCCCTAATGGCCACATCACTTGCGTTGTCTTGGGCCAAATGAATCATTCTAAGCCTCTGTCTCTTTGGGATATGAGGCTGTGGTGATAAGTACAGAGCCTGGCCATGGTGCCAGAAAATGGGGCATGTTTCTAACATTGCTGGGGAGTTGCTCACCTGATGGCCTCCATTTCTGCTAGAAAGACCTGGGGTAATGTTCTTTCCCAGCCATAGGTTCACCTATGAGATCTTGAGCAGGTGCTCTCATTTCTCCTATGTAAAATTATAATGTAATAACCAGGAGGATTAAATGTGTGTGAAGCACTCACAGAGGGTATCTGGTACATAACAGGCATTCAATAACTGGAACCAAAACATAGAGACCAGCAGATATTGATTGAGAATTCATGAAACTTCCCTGAGCAATAGGAAGATCTAACTGGGACCAGAGCTATAAGCCAAAGGAACAAAGAGCTAATTGTGAGAACTTTAGGCATCACTCAGCAAACACAGAGACATCGCCAGCCCTTTAGCTCCATGTGACAACCAGACCAGGGATAGGCATGGGGAGCTTGTCAGATGATGACTTAAAACAGTGTGGTTTCTGAAGTGTGGCACAGTTGTGTGGATCCTCTTGAGGACGGGCTTTTTGAACATCCTCTGGTCTGATTCCTATGCCTGTCAGCCTTAGGCCTCAGGCCTGTGGTGCCCCCTGCTTCATGTGTTGCTGTGCCTACAGGACCGGGGCTTCTGCGTGGAGGTGAACACAGCGTTTGAAGACTTCGCCCACGTCATAAGCTTTGACAAGAGGGCTGCTGCGCTGGACGCAGGCAACATCAAGCTGACCTTCAATAGTGTGAGGGGCAGGGTGGGGTGGGTCTTGGATTTTTTTTACTCATCCCATTGTCTTACTCCTTCCCTTTTCACTCTTGTCCTACTGACTGTCCTGGGTTCAGGGGATCATGACAGAAGGCCAGACCCCAACTTTCTACCTCTTAAGGTATGCCTGAGTGGGCCCTGGGCACTCACCCTTCTGGGTGACCTTGTTCTGCATCTCTGTCTTCAGCTGCTGGAGAAGGCAGAGGCACGGGAGAGGGAGCGGGAAAAGGAGGAGGCACGAAGGATGCGGCGCAGAGAAGCTGCCTTTCGAAGCATGCTGAGGCAGGCCGTGCCTGCTCTGGAGCTGGGCACTGCGTGGGAAGAGGTCAGGAGCGCAGCCTGGCCCCAGTCACCCCTCAAGCCTGAGGGCAGCGGAGTTTCTCCACCACTGAGGGCCCACCCCAGTCACAGCACAGCCCTGGGCCGGCTCCAGTTCCCTTCCTTCCTCTGCCCCCGCCCTGCCCTATGCTCGTGGAGGTGTTCAAGCCCGGCTGGGTGGAGCCTGGTCTGATCAGCAGTGCTCTCCCCGTTCAAGGTCCGTGAGCGCTTTGTGTGCGACTCAGCCTTTGAGCAGATCACCCTAGAGTCGGAAAGGATCCGGCTCTTCCGGGAGTTCCTGCAGGTGCTGGAGGTGAGTCAGGCTCTTACCCTTTGGATCTGTCATAAGTGCTTGAATTCCCTAGGCCTGTTCATCAGAGACCTCAGTGGCCTCGCATCCTATCCTAGGTCTTTCCTTTCCCTGGACAGCTAAGGATGGAGAAGCCTAAGGGAGACCTGGGATAGGCAAAAGGCCCTAACCTAAGACAGGGAGGCATAGTCCTCACCTTTCTCCCTCTGCTTCTAGCAGACTGAATGCCAGCACCTCCACACCAAAGGCCGAAAGCATGGCAGGAAGGGCAAGAAACACCATCACAAGCGTTCCCACTCACCCTCTGTGAGTTGGCAGGTAGAGGGATGTGGGGGTGAGGCTGGATTGTTTTGGGGTACTCGACACTTCTTGTTTTTCCCTATGTCACCTCCATTGGAAGGAAATTTGAGGATTCTTTTTGGAATCCTGGATCCTCTTCTCTATCCCCAATTCACAGACAAGAGCTCTAGAGGCCAGAGAACCTCTGCATTAACCCATATCTGTTTATGTGCCCAGGGCTCCGAGTCGGAAGAGGAGGAGCTGCCCCCACCATCCCTCCGGCCCCCCAAGCGGAGGAGGCGAAATCTCTCAGAGTCTGCCTCTGATCCCTCATCCTCACTTGATTCAGTTGAAAGTGGGGGTGTTGCCCTTGGAGGACGGGGCTCCCCATCCTCCCACCTTCTTCTTGGATCAGGTAAGCAGATGCTGGAAGATGGAGAACTGTGGATGATGATTAAGAGGAGGAACTCAGCAAGCTCTAGCACCCTTGAGGGTGGAGTGGATTAGGAGGGCTGATCTGTGAGGATGGGAAGAACTTCCTGTTCCTGCCTAGACAGGAAACCAGGAGAAGGAAGGAAAACTAGATTCAACCTTTCTCAAACCACAAGGCCCAGGTCTACAAAGAATGAACATAGAGGGCTGTGGCAGAGAAGAGACTGAGCTCTCCTTTTTCCCTATGGGAGTTAGTAGGAATTTTTTATCTCCAGATCATGGCCTTCGGAAAGCCAAGAAACCAAAAAAGAAAACTAAAAAGAGAAGACACAAGTCGGTGAGTAGAGAAGGAACTCTGCTTAAGACCTTGCTATTTTGTGGGATCTGTTCCACCTACCTCCCAGCTGTCCACAGAAGCTGAGGAGTTGGGCTCTGGACTTTTACAGAACAGCCCTGAGAGTGAGACAGACCCCGAGGAGAAAGCTGGCAAGGAGAGTGAAGAGAAAGAACAAGAACAAGACAAGGATAGGGACCTTCGGCAGGCAGAGCTCCCTAATCGCTCCCCAGGCTTTGGAGTCAAGAAGGAGAAGGTGAGAGGCAGAGGCAGGGGCCCAGCCCCAGCCAGGCAGCACTCTGTCCAGGGGGCTTGGGTGAGCCATGCCTCTGCTCCAACAGACAGGCTGGGACACGTCAGAAAGCGAGCTGAGTGAGGGGGAGCTAGAGAGGCGGCGGCGGACACTCCTACAGCAGCTGGATGACCACCAGTGACCTGATAAGCTGCTCTCTGCCTCGGGCCTGCTTGAGGTGGTGGCTTCTTGGCCACCCTTACCATATGCCTCAGACTCCTTCGTCTGGTCGGTGTCCACTTTTCCTAAAGTAACTCCACCCTCAGTACACCACTGTTGGCACCTGTCAAGGTTGCTCTTGGTGTTCAAGGGTTCCCCACTTCCCGGACAACTAGTGCAGTCCTTGCCCACAGCCCCAGGCCATGTTGAAGGGGGGGCGGGTGATACCAGTAGATCAAGTATGAGTAATGGGGTCTCCAGGGAAGAGACAGGCTGGTGGACACAGCCTGGGTGGCATAGGGCTGAGTTCTTACCCTCTAGCATCAGTGCCTGCCCAGGGGCTTCACCACTGCTTTCTCCAGGGACCTGATGTATGTGTGTTTTGTTTTTGTTTTTTAAATAACAATATTTATAACATGGCTGGTGACTTTTGTCCTCTCCATGTGCTACTTGGGCAGGCTGGGAACTGGATTGGTGTACACATGTCCAGCAGAGGGCACTAGTGTCTCACACAGGCCTGCTTCCCTTTGTGTGGTCAGAAACCACCCAGCCTCCTTCCAGCAGGCTTCTGTGCTCCTTTCCCCAGACTTTTTAATTCAGCAGCCATCCTGGCTCCCCCAAGCTCAGAAAGGAGACAGCCTGGTGCTTCAAGCTTTTGTTAAGAGAAGGAAGGACTAGGGTTTATGTACAAGAGAGAAGGGAAATGGTACATGTACAAAAAGAGGTGGCCCCTGATTCTCTTCCAGGGACTGAGAAGAAACTGGCAGGGAACTGAGCAGATAGTCTGCAGAGACCACCATGCTTCCTACCCCCCACCAAAAAACCACCTAGCTGAGAAAAGGAGGTGAGGAGGTTGTTGGCATGCCCTTTCTCTAGAGGTCTTGGTGTAGACAACCCTGCTCTTCAGGCCACTGCAGCAAGAACAGCATATGACTTGAATGGGCCAAGGAGAAGGACAGTAGGCCTGGCATCATTCCTCTACACTTATCATGAGGGTGCAGCTGGGTGGGTCCAAGCGCAAAAGGGCCTTGCTCCTCATAAGAGATGATCTGAGATTGGCAGGGTTCCAGGATGCCTGTATACTGCTAGACTAGTGCTGACCATGGAACTGTGAAAAGAAAGGGGAAAAAAGCAGGGAGACTAGCTTTTCTCCTCTCTTCTCACTGGGCTCTAGCAGGGGAGAGGGGCCTAGGTGCCCCCTGTATAGGGTAAAGCTGGAAATGGGTTTTCCTAGCTTTGAGCTAACCCCTTGATGACCCTTCAAGGAATGAAATTGAAGACCACAGGGGCAAAAGTACAGTACTGGAGGCACTAGGGAAGTGCCAGGCCTGTAATAGGCCTAGTGCCCACAATGGCATAGGTAAGATCCAGCCCGAGTGCTGGGGGTGGCACAGCTGAGAGCAGCATAACCTTCTGCCAGACCCTTGGCTTCAGGTCCACTGGCTTCCGGAACTTTGCAGGACTGAAGTGCTTCTGCCTCCAAGAGGGTCTCAGTGGGGGCCTGGAGCCCGAGGGGGGCCACTGGGTGGTGCAGCACTCCGCGCTTGGTGGCGAACAACAATGGGTTGGCGGTGGAGGCCTATAGGGAAGACAAAGGAGCTTATCAACAGGCAGGACAGCATCTTCAGGAGCACCCACAGCAGGATAGGGAGGAACCAGCCGTGAAGTGGACCATGGAATTTGAAGTGAGGCTTTAAGGCCAGCTAGGGAAAATGCTGGGACTCTGACCTTCGAAAAAAATCAGGTGGGGAGACTAGAGGCCACTAGGCAGAAACAAAGTAGACTTAAGCAGAGCCAGAAACTGGGAAGAGACCCTTCGAATGTCAGGAAGCAGACATGAGGGGGCATCTAACTGCCCCTGGGCAGCACCTACTACCAGAGCTCTTGTGATGAGGGAACTGTAGAGAAGAGATGGACCAAGATGCCCTGGACCCAGAAATGTAACCTCAGCGTCAGCAATCAAAACCATAAGCCTATGGTCCTGCCTACTCTGGCACAGCTCCCACACCTGGCCCTTGGGTCTTAGTTCTTAGAAGCCAGGACAGCATTAGTGAGAGGGAGTCTACTTCTGTGTGGGCAAATGCAGAGGATAAGCCATGCTTCTGGCATCGTGGGGCATGCAAGAAGTATGTGTTCCCATACTAAGAGGCAGCTAGGAAATGTTTCCAGAGCATGCAAGGGAATGCCTATGGGCTCCAGCAGTCCAGGGAGGTGGGCATGCAGAAGGGGCAGCTGTGGTGCCCAATACCTGTCAGGGGCCCCAGCCTTGGGGGTTAACAGTTTGACTCATCATGGTGGGCTGCGTCACAGAAGAAGCGTGAGCCCCGCTTGGCAGTACGAGCCGTGAAAGGGACACTCTTCAACACTGGCCCAGGAGAGAGACACAGTGGTCAGGCCTCATTGGTGGGCAGTGGGGCGGGGGTGGATCTGGATAGGTTGGGCTCTGGGATCTGGATCCAACACCAGGCCCCAAAGGAGGACAGAAGGACCCCACCTGTGATGATGTCCTCAATGGTACCATCTTTTCCCTCATAAACTGGTCGGTGCTCCTTAGCCTGGCGTCGCCTCAACTCTGCAATTAGCTCCTGCTGTTGCCATTTGTTCCGCTGGGATGGGGTCTATGGCCAAGCATTTGAAAGGGGAAGGAAGTCATCAGTAACCTGACAAGGGGCTGGCTCCTGTCCCAAGATGCTCCTGGCTTATGTGCTACTGGGAATCCCCCTCCCAGAGTCCAGCTCCTTATCCCTCTGGATTCTAGCCTCAATCCTTGTAGCCTCAGGTGTATCTGTTGCAGTTTCCCATCTTCTCTCTAGCTCTATTTCCCTCTCAGTCCCCAGTTCTTTGCCCCAGTTCTTGGTCCCACGCACCTTGGCATCCAGCTTCTTGGCTTCCTGAGCCAGCTGTTTCTCCCGCATTACCTCCTCCTGCTTCTTGCGGGCTTCATTCTCTTGTTCTGCTTCCTACAGAGAACCAAGGTGGACAGTGAGGCTTACGGGCTAGGAGGGGAGGAGCTGACACTGAGAGTGGAGAGTAGGTGGCAGTGGGACCAGTGAACCCCAGGTGGCCACCCTCTGGAGGGGCACTTCCTGCTCCAAACAATGACAGGAAGAACCTGGGCCCCCACCCTGCCACACCAGTTCAGCTATGAGGCCTCTCGCCAGCTTCCATTGCTCCCTTCCCAGGACCCAGAGGAGGAGTTGGAAAAAGCCAAGACTTGAAGCCCGAGCTCTCTCTCCCTCAACCCTTTTTAAAAGAGGGGTTACTCACTGTCAAACCTCTCTTTAAAAACCCCTCTTCAGCTTACCTTGTAAGAACGAATGAATCGGACAAATACTGGAAAAAATACAGAAGGAGGTGTGGTCTTGGGACTCTCTCCAAAGTAGCGCACAACTGCATTGTAGGCCTCCTAGGGAAAGGGATTGGCAGAAGGGGGTCAGCCTGGCAGGAAGAAGCCCAGGAACAGGTGGCCCACAGAAAGCAGAGCACAGGGTCAAAGGAAGGAAAATCAACCACTCAAGCCAAGGTAAACTAGAGAGAATTGGGGGTCCTTGAGGGCCCCAAGTGCCCATGTCTCCAGAGATGGCTGTCTGCCACCCCCAAAGCCCTCTCTCTCTGACACAGAAGGCCTGCTGTTGGTGTTATGTAAAAGAACCAGCTAGGCTTACCTAGACAGCCTGGGTTGCTCCTGCCCACTCCATCTCTTGCTCACCTCTGCTGTCTTGGCGTCACGCTGGAGCTTATCCAGTTTGCCTTCATTGGTGCTGAGGAAGCTCCGAAGGACACTATTGTCATGAATGCTGCATTCTCGCCGAATCAGCTCCATGCCCCGGCCCAGCTCCTTCACATCTAGCAGCACATTCTCCAGGGACACTGTAGTAGTCAGAGGCCTTGCTGAGGGCGACCTATGGCCTGGGATATGCATTGCCCAGCCCAGCTACAGCAAACACCCTCTCCCTTGGCACAGCTCACTAAGGTTCTCACCCAGGTGTGGACATGAAGAAGGAAGTGCACACCAGAGAGCTGGGCTCTCGGGTAGAGCAACTCCAGAGAACAAGGTAGCAAAGGGAGGCAAGCTACAGTTGTTGCTGGTCTCCAAAGTGGAGCTGACTTCTTGCCCAGCTTCCATGAACTGGCACAAATAACAGCTACTTTATGTCTCTGGAGGGCTTCATGGTTTTTCTAATACTGCATGCACCATAGAGAAATGTCAGTAAGTCTCTGAACCAACTTAAGGAAGTTGGGAGGAAAGAGTCAACTCCCCTTCCTGTTCCTGCTCCTACTGCACCTAACTGGGAAGGCTAGGCCAGGCCTGATGCCTAGAGAGGAAGGCCCACTCTGGGATGGCCTGCGCTCATGGCTCTAGCGGAAAGCTTTGAAGTGGTCAGAAAGTTAACAAAAAAAAAACTAGAAATAAATGGACCAAGAGTTCTCTTTCCTCATAGCTTCCTGGGATTGTCCTAGGCTGAACATAAGGACTGGCCTACCCTGCCAAACTCGCCTCACCTGCTGCAGCCTTCTCCACAAAGTGCAGCTCATGCCAAAAGTTAGTTAGGTCTGGGTATTTCTCCTTCACTGTCAAGGCGATGAAATGCAGCAGAGTCATCTTCCGGTCAGTGGACTTAGTGTCCAGTAGCTGGAAGGGAGGGAGAGGCAGTGCCAGACAGCTAAAAACAGGCTCCACCACCACTGTACCCTGCCCATGCTACCCACCACTTTCTTACCAGATCTAGGCTCTGGAGCTTGAAGCCATACACAGCTCCTCGCTTGCTGCTATTCATGTAGTTTCCCAATGCAAGTATGATCTGTTCAGCAGATGTGTGGGAAGCAGGTCAGGTCATGCCCTAAGGCTCCCTCTCTATAGCCCCCAGGGCCAACACCCCATTCACCCCTCTTCCCACCTCCAGCATCTGCTTCAGCTTCTGTGAAGACTTGATGGAGGCAGAGGCTGCAATTATGGCATTGAGTTGCTGGAAAATGAGATGAATACTTGAGTCATTCCAGGCTTGGGTAATGGTGTGGAGTTAGTCAGGGAAGAGCTAGGAGGAGGAGCAGGGCAGGGGAAGTGCTCAACAGAAAGAGATGGAGCAGCAGAGGATAACTATTTGGATGAGGGCTATACCGGTGTGAGCATCTGCAGGTTGTCCTGGAAGTTGCCCAGAAAGGCCATGCCAGCCATTCGCTGGGTCAGCCGCTCCACCTTGCTGAAGAGCAACATGAAGCGGTCCTCAGCTGCCAGCTCCTCTAGAGGCTGCCGCTCACGCTCGTATTGCCGCAGTAGCTTCACCTCAGCCTCCGTGGGCAGGAAGCGCATCAGGCACTCCACAAAATCCACAGGTAGTGTCTGTAGGTCATATCTGTGTAGGAGGGAGGATCACAGGATCATTTGTATATGTCTTTCCTCCAGGAGGAATGGGGGTGA